CCCTCCCCCATTTCTGATGAAGGGTCTAGGCCCAAAACGTCAGCCTTACTGCTCCTATGATGCTGCTTGGCCTGCTGTGTTCATCCAGCTCTGCACCTTGTTGTCTCAGATTTTCCAGCATCTGCAGTTCCTACTATCTCTTATTCAGATAGTTTTCGTTTATTTCCACAGTATATCGCATACGCTTTCACCAGAGCTTTGCGGAAATGAACAAGGGTTCAAATGAATGGAAAACCGTTCTTGGTGGAACATTGATTGCGGTAGGCTTTGCTGGACTGTATTTCGCCTGGCAGAGACGATTCGGTAAGTGAAGCAAAGTCAGCTGCACAAAATCAGCGGAATTTTGTAAATGGTGAAAATGGTGTTATGCTGTGTTTTTGTAACACAACTTCTTGTTTATGCTTGCACTGAACGAGCACCCAGTGTTGGGAAGAGTTGTTTAGCACTGCAATTTGCTTACAAATATTGGCATTTTTCAAATTTTGTTTCTCTTTTTTCTGGGATGATAGTGTTGTCCATCCTCAATTGTCTTGTGGCTTGTTAGACCAGAGGTCAGTTAAGAATCAACCATATTGTTGTTGGTCTGGAGTCACATGTAGGCCAGACCAGGAAACAATGGCAGATTTCCTTCCCTAAAAAGATTTTGGTGAATAGCAACACTTTTTACAACACGCTCACCATTACTGTGACTTGCTTTTAATTCCAGATCTTTATTGATAGAATTAAAGTTTCACCAGTTGCCTTGGAGAGATTTGAACCTATGTTCCTGGAGCATTAGCCTGGGCCTCTGGATTACTTCTCATGTCATAATACATCGCCATTTCCTGTGTGAATGAAATTTTCAAGTTACAATGGGGCTAAGGGGAATCATATGGCAGATCAGAGAATGGTGTGTTGTGCTGATAGTTGTGTCCCCATTGGAACATTTAATGCTGGCATGGACTGTTTGGGCTGGATGGATTACATGCTGTACATTCTATATGGTAATTCTGCGTCATTTCAATGACACAGACTTCTTTCTATTTCCAAATGTATGAGCATGTGAAAACGTCATTGAGTTCAGAATCTGAAAATCACTGGCGACGTTTTCTGTTATATAAAACTGTCAATATTACTTTCCATGAATGTAGTGACACATGTGCTTTATGAAGTAAACACACCTGTAATAAAACAAATTAAAATGCTATCATTGATGAAGGTCAGATCACTAACAAGCTGGCAAGATTTCTAAGCAGAGGAAGTATAAACCTATATCATGAGTAAATTTCTCTGTCGTGCTCATTTAATTTCTGATTAAAAGGGTGAATAGCTTTTACAAGTGTTAGACTCCAGCTGGAGAAATTCATTATTGTAGGTGGTTTGATGCGTGTGTTTCTATTCACAGTGTATGGGGATGTTCCTCACACTTTTTCTAATGAATGGAAGGCTAAGCAGACCAAGAGAATGTTGGACATGAGAATAAACCCAATTCAAGGCTTTGCTTCACAATGGGATTATGAAAACAACAAATGGAAGAAATGAATATGCACTGGAAATCTTTACCTATCCTTGTTTAATGTTTCAAATGTGAGCTTGTGTGTTCAGGAAGTTCACTTAACAGTCTGGAGTTAAACTATAAAAATTTGATAATAAACTTGACTGGTTCACATGAGTTTGTCTGCTAGCTGTATTCTTTGTAAAAAGCAGCAGTTCTAACTTTGGTCGAGGGGCATGAGATAGGGAAGATGCAGAACTTATAAACAACACCCAAGTATTTTATTACATTTAAAAAGCTTAGTTCATATTTTGGACTAAAAGGTTCAAATGATTTGATCTGTTTTTCTGCATGGTTTTTCTCTATGTGTTTAAAGATTCTCTTTCTTGGACTGACCACTGACATATATCTTCTAATTTTCCAACACCACATAATGGTAGAAAGGGAATTCCTTTCAGTTTTGGTGCCAATTTCAAGTCCCATTGCTAGAGATAAAAGCAAGGTGGTTTTTCTCTCTTTTGCTTAATATAAATCATTTCTTTAGTGTTGAGAAAACATTGAAGCACCTTGACGTGGGTCATTGGTGTTGCCGAATTTGGAGTGATAGTAAATGATTCTGTGAATGTTTAAACATAGAACATAGAACAGTGCAGCACAGAAATGGGCCCTTTGGCATATGATGTTGTGCCAAACATAATGTCAAATTAAACTAATCCCTTCTGCTTGCCCTTGGCCCGTTCCCCTCCATTCTTTGCATATTTATGTGCTTATCTAAAAGTTCCTTACATGTCCCTATTGTATCTGCCTTCACTACTACCCCTGGCAGCACGTTCCAGACTCCTACCATTCTCTGTTTCAAAAAAACTTGCCCCTCTCATCTCCTTTGAACTTTCCCCCTCTCATCTTAAATGCATGCACTCTAGTATTAGACATTTCAGCTCTGGGAAAAAGATTCTGATGGTCAACCCTATCTGTGTATCTCATTATTTTATAGACTTCTGTCAAGTCTCTCCTCAGCCTCCGCTGCTCCACAGAAAACAACCCAAGTTTTTCCAGCCTCTCCTTATAGCTCATACCCTCTAATCCAGGCAGCATCCTGGTAAACCTCTTCTGCACCCTCTCCAAAGCCTCCACATCCTTCCTGTAAAGTTGTGACCAGAATTGAACACAATACTTAAAGTCTTATAAGGCTGCAACATGACATCCTAACTCGCTTACTCAGTTCCCTGACCAATAAAGGCATGCATGCTATATGCCTTCTTTAGCGTGCTATCTGTTTGCATGGCCACTTTCAGGGAGCTGTGGACTTGAACCCCAGGATCCCTCTGTACATTAATGCTATTCAGGGTGCTGCCATTAACAGTATATTTTTCATTAATATTTGATGTCCCAAAGTGCAACACCTTACACTTATACAGATTAAACATTACCTACCATTTCTCTACCCCTATCTGCAACTGATCTATATCCTGTTGTATCTTTTGAACACCTTCTGCGCTATCCACAACTCCACCGATCTTCATATTGTCTGCAAAATTACAAACCCATCCATCTACATTTTCATCCAAGTCATTTATATAAATCAGAAACAGCAGAGGTCCCAGGATGGATCCCTGCGGAACACCACTAGTCACGTACCTCCAGCCAGAAAAACACCATTCCACCACTACCTTCTGCATTCTGTGGGCAAGCCAATTCTGAATCCAAGTGGCCAAGTCACCGTGCATCTTAACCTTCTTGATGAGTCTACCTTGGGGGACCTTGTTGAAAGCCTCACTAAAATCCATGTAGACAATGTTTACGACTCTACCCTCATTGATTACCTGTAGTTGATGGGCTAGATGTACATTTATCACCTGTGATCCCGAGCAGTTTTATTTCTTGCCAATTTCCTACCGTTTATACGTGGGAACCGTAAAATGCAAGATTTTGGGGGTTGGCAGGCTATTTGACTGTAAAGTATATCAGAGCTGGGTCCAACAACTGTGCACTTGAACAACTATAGGCCAGCTAGTTTAACTTCAGCGGTGGAGTAACTCCTAGAAACCATAGTCAAATGGGCTGAATCGTGGCAAATGCAACTTAATCCTGAAACGTGTGATGTGATGTTTTTGGGAGGACTAACAATGCAAGGGATTGCACGCTGAATGTAGGACCTTGGGAAGTACAGAAGATTAGAGGAACGTTGGTGTGCATGTCCATAGATCCTTAAAGGAAACGGAAAAGGCTGATAAGGTGGCTAGGAAAGCATTGGATTACTTTATTAGTCAAGGTATCAAATACAAGAGCAAGGAGGTTATGGACCTGTATGTAACATTAATTAGACCACAGCTGAAGTACAATAATTCAAGACAAAATTAATAGTGACATGGACACATGCAGGGTAATTAAGGAAAGTCGGCCTGAATTTATTAAGTGTTTTGTTTTTAATTAGCTGGAGCTTTGAAGAGGCAACAGTGAGGGTTGATGAGGGCAATGTTGTTGATATAATGTACATGGACTTCCAAAAAGCATTTCATACAGTGAACACAACGTGAATACAAAATTGGTGGGATCCTTGTTTTTCCTGCTATATTAATGGCAGACTCTTATACTCTGGTGGCTAGTTTATTCAGCTGACCAACAGAATGGGCTGAATAGGTTTTTTTTGTGTGCTGTAATCTTTGTAGTTCTATGATGTAGGGGCACAGTGACAAAATTTGCAGATGATGCAAACCTTGGAAGCTGTGAGGAGGAGAGTGTAGTACTTCACAAGGACAAGCTGGTGGAATGGGCAGATAGATGACAAATGAAATTTAATATGGAGAAATGAGAGTTGATTAGTTTTGGTAGGAAAAGCATGGGGATGCAATATAAAAGAGTACAATTCTAAAGGGGTGCAGTAGCAAAAAGACCTGCATATATGAATTAAGATGTCAGGGCAGTTTGAAAGCATGGTTGATAGCCTCCATAAGATCAATTGGGAATAGACAGTAAATGCAAAGGATGACCGCATCCCTGGAATGAATTTAAAATAATATTTAAAAATCAAAAATGTTGTAAAATGTGATGTTTTCTGCATGAAACCTTTCAATTTTCTAACATCTAAATAATATTATGACAGAAATGATCTTCTATCCAAATGAGAGTTTTAAACAACTTGAACTATAATCCCATTGAAGCAATAATTTCTGCTCTTGGAAGTTGGGTTAAATGTATTTTACTTATTTTGTGCTTTGTGTGTTGTGATTTGCCATAATTCACATTTTACTTTTTAAATACAAACGGTAACATTGGTCTCACTTCCAAAAAGCTGATAGAAAGTTATTGAGACTAAAAAAAGTATTAGATTTTAGGATCAAATTAACAGGATCACATACAGAGATTTAAGAAAATTACAGAGCAATAGAATAAGTTTGACAAGGTTGTACGTTGAGAAATGAAGAGCTGAACTTTAACCAGTTAACTTTATAGTTTCTTTGCAAACAAAGTATGTTAATAACACAACTTACAATAGTTTGTTTCAGAGATAGTAGGAACTGCAGATGCTGGAGAATCTGAGATAACAAGGTGTAGAGCTGGATGAACACAGCAGGCCAAGCAGCATCAGAGGAGCAGGAAGGCTGACGTTTCGGGCCTAGACCCTTCTTCAG